GGCGTTGGGAGCAGTGCGGTTGCCGTTGCCGTTGCCGTTGCCGTTGCCGTTGCCGTTGCCGTTGCCGTTGCCGTTGCCGTTGCCGTTGCCGTTGCCGTTGCCGTTGCCGTTGCCGGCGCCGGCGCCGGCGGCCTGGACCATCTGGACGGGGACGACGCCGCCAAAGGGGCCGGCGCGAGCCGGGTTCTGGCAACGGACCAGGCAGACGTTGTCCTGGCCGGCAACCTGGCCGTCACACTGCTGGTTGGCCGGGATGGCGGCGGTCAGAGGGTGGTCGGAGGCGCTGCCGGCGTTGTTGCGGCCGCGCTGGTTGCCGTCGACGTTCTGGGTGACCTGGATGTTCTGCCAGCTCTGGCCGGTGCCGTCCGAGTTGATCATGCACGTGTAGGGGCCGGCGCCGTCGCCGTTGACCTGGTGCAGCGTCATCTGGACGTTGCCGCCGGGCGTGACCTGGGGGAGCGTGCCGCCCATCTCGGACATGATGGCCTGGGTGCCCGACTCGATGCTGTTGCTGCCGGCGCCCACCGTCTCGCCCACCGACTTTGCCGACGCGCCGCGGAACCGCGTGGCGTCCTGCTGGAAGGGGTTGCGGCGAGTTCCATCGCGGGGGGTGGAAGTGTCGATGCCCAGAGCCATGCCCTGGCCGCCGGCGTCACCGACGGCGTTGGTGATGGCGGCGTGGCCAGAGACGAGCTGGGCGGTGAGGAGGGCCGAGGTGGCGAAGAGGGCCTTGAAAGACATTTTGCGGACTGGTGAAGTTGTTGTTGTTGTTGTCTGGGTTTGTTGCGGGGGAATTGTGGTAATTAGAATGAAGTCTGACCGGCAGGAGAAGTTGAAAGATGTATTAGGGTTGGAGAGAAGAGGGAGTGGTAGAAAGAAGCTTGTGAGTGTTTTGATGGCTGTGAGAGTGACGAGGAGAGAAGAATTGGATCCCAAGCGAGGCCATCACGACGTCTTTATACTCGACTGTCGAGGCCGTCTTTGCGTGCGTCGACGGGAGGAGTCTCTCGGTCGGTTTGGACCTTGATCGACCTGGCGGGATTCGCTTGGTTTCGCGCATCACACAGCCAAGAGAGAAATCGAAACGATGGCAAACTTCCAAAACCCGAACAAACACCACCTGAAGACATGCCCCAGCTGCCGTGGATCGTGGTGTTTTGGCGACAGAAGCCCCGTGGTCCCCACAAGGAAACATCTTCTCCCGAGGAGGCCATGGTGGTGGTATTCCTCCTGCTTCCCGTAGAGACAGACAAACTTGAGGCGGTCGTGAAGCCTTCGGCAGGCCAGTCTCTCGAGATGATTGGCCGCAGCCGTCGACGAGAGATCAGTCAAAACAAGGCCTGTCCCCTTGGCGAGACTCGAGGGCCGAGGGACGGAGAGACACATGGTGACGCGCTGCGTTTCAAGGCCCATAGTGCCGGGTGTAGTCCGCTGGTGAAGCTCATGAGAATTCTGTCTGGGTAGCCACCGTGCAGAGGCGGCGGGCCGGTCTCTCTGCGTCTCTTTTGCCGTTACCAACGTGGCTAATTCGCAGGGCTGGAACTGCATGAGATTCCGCCTTGAGGATGGGCGCCCAGGGTTGAGGTGTGAGACGCAGATGGTAGGCTTCTGCTGCCATGAGACGCGGTGGTTGAGGAGTCGGTCTGCCTCGGGGAGCCCAATCGACGATCCGGGGGGCCGCGGGTGGCTGTGCCCGTTGTTCGCCTGAAGAATAGTACGGGGGGCAATCGGAGGCGTTCGTGTTTTACCCGTGCACGCGGTGGGATATACGGGAGACGGAGACTGCGTGCTTTGCCAAGCATGTTTGGCGAAGGGGGTTGGGTGTTTTGAAAGTCGGAGGTGAAATTTCCTATTTGGGCCGATTGCCGTATAAACGGGCCCCGGTCAATGGCCGTGCGGCCGTATCAAGGCCCAACAGTCTGACACGCTCTGCCGGAGACGACGCTCCCTTTTCTCTGCAGAAACATGACAGGTGGGAGGGTAATCACGGAGATCACGAGAAAGGATTTCGGGGTGGGCCGGCGATCGACATTAATCAAATCGCATCATAGGCGTGCTTTCGGCTGTGGCTCCGAAGATCCATGTGCAAGATACGCGCTGCTGATCAAATGGGCAAACAGGGAAATGGTATAAAAAAAAAGGTTGCCTGTTCCATGTCAATGCGACCGACAACACCATTGCATATTGAATTTGCTGGCACAGTTGTTCCCGTGTTCCGTGTATACTTCTCGAGATGCCGGCCCTCATCAACACCAAGCCCGAGCCTCTCTCATGCTACGAACCTGCTCCGTCTTGTACAACAAACAGTGTCATCGTTTCGCTCTAGGCACCCCACACGTTCCACAGCTACTTCGGCCGACACGAACACCCGTAGCAAAAATGTCCAAACTCGTCCCGCTCTCGGACGCTGTCAAACGTGTCGAGTCTCCAGCCCGCCCTTGAGGAAACCCCAGCGCCAAGGCAGGGATGTCTTGATTCCGGATGCAACTGCATGGTATTGTGCATACTGCACCCGTCCTTGATTAATTAAGCAGTGATTCATCTCTGGCCAATAAACCATGTTACTCGCCCTGCTAGTATTCCCATTTCCATCACCATGACTCGCGAAAGTCACTTTTGCAGTCGCCGTTCATAGACACCGACCAGATTAACCGTTCAATGTTGCAGGCAGTCCTTCTGGCAGCGACTTTTCTTTGTCATATCAAAAGGCTGGGTCAGTAGTAGAGCAAGGCCAAAATGTACATGGTGAATCTAGGCGGCCCAACGCTTCAGGGTAGCAAGACATGTATATCCGTCGCCTTTTTTTCCGCCCATAACTTTTGATTTTTTTCTTCTTCTTGTCTTTTACATCTGTAGGCGTTTCCAGGCGGTATGCGCACCATAACATGACCATGACGCCTCCGTTTCTCCCACTGTCACCTCCCACTCCCGTTAAACATCACCACCACGGAGCTGCCTCTAAAGCCGGCACGATGTCTGAAGACGCGCACATGAAACGCCGGCGGGCGGCAAAAGGATAGAGACGAAGTTCACTTAAAACCCCGCGGTTACATGTACGCCATTCATTACCTGATGTAGTCTAACTTGCAGGCCGTCAGCATCATCGAGCTGCGGCCCAGGGGAATCGCTTTCACGCCTTGCCCACGGGGCTGTGCCAGCCCGCCTCGTTTTCCCACCATTGTAAGGATAATTCTAAAATAGACCCTTATCACTGGCCAGGAGATTCCCTTTCCCGAGAGCTATTCATGCACCTGCTCAAGTCATCTTGGCGTTGCAAGTGCTGTGTGTTGCCGTCTTGTTGCCCTCAACGACGATGAACATCTGCGTCCCCTCCCCCAAAAAAAAAAAAAAATCTCACCGCAGAGTTGAAGTCCTGCCCGTATCTAATCATACATTATTTCCTAGATCACGGGGCAAGCTCAATCGTACCGGCCTGTGTGCTCAGACTCTGAACAGCTCAAGCCGTTCTTTACCACGCAGAGCGTCTTCTTTCTCTCTCAAGCCTTTTGATAGTAAAAGGGACCATGACTGGGTTTCACACCGGCAAGAAAGAACACTGGGTCATGTCAGGGGCGACATGTTTTTGTCACCAATAGTGGGTGGTTCAGCCGGAGCTCTTTCGCTCCAACAGCAGCCCAAGGGCCTGTTTTGGTGCTCAGCATCATGAACTACTTCAGAGCCGTATTACCTTGGTTTGTCCAATGCATCATTGTGTGCGGGCAATCGGCAGCCCGCCTCCAAGGGAGACGAGAAGGCACATAATATGACGGCTTAAGAGGGGCCACTACCAAGCTGCCATGCGGGTCGCGGACAAGGCTTATTTTGTGTACGTTCTGATATACATTCTTGTGCATATTCCGTGAGATATATCATGGATATGCGCATCGTACAAATGATATCCAGACTAAACGGTACTGACTACATCCTCTCCCCTTGAACCGTTTCACGTCAACCATCGTCTCCTCCCCTTTCTTGCCAAGTACATTTCGTTTACACACAAAGAGGCGGGCAAAAGAGTACAACACAGAGATTGAGGTCTTCAAAGAGTTGTTCAGCAACAGGAACCCCATTCATATCCTTCCCAATTCTAATCACCCACGCCCACTATGCGCTTCCCAAAATCACCTCAAAAGCCGGGGATTGAGAATAGCCAACTCCCTGATATGCTCGTCCCAAATCTCCAGGGGATCTCTCTGCATGCGAACGCCGCTCTTCTTTACGCCATACAGGTACGGCTTCTCATCCGCAAAGCACGCCGTCTCCGGGTCCTCCGGCAAGGTACCCTCCAGAATGTACGCCTTGGCAATCTCGTCGGTGCAGGCAGACGTATCCCTGGAGGAGTGTCCGTAGCCATGGTGCGCAATCAGCCTAGCATTCTTGCCCATTTCGCTCAGAAGACGCCTCCCGTTGCGCAAGGGCGTGGCGGGATCGTACGTCTCGGCGATGAGAAGAACTGGGTTGCTCAGGCTGTTGTTCAGGTCGCCGCGGTAGACCTCCGCCGGCTCGGGCCAGTAGTCGGTGAAGTGCCTGCAGGGGAATATATTCTGGAACCGAGAGTTTCCCGCGATCCACGACTTGGCAGTCATGTTGGCCCACAGGGACTCGTACCAGGCCAGCCCGTCCTCGGGCTCCGGCGCGTCGTACTGGTCGGCGCAGATGACCAGGCTGCCGAGCTCTTCGGACCGTGGCCGTCTGTTGGGCGGAGGCGGCTTCGTGGGGTCGTACTCCCAGACGCTTCGCTCCAGCATGGCGGCCGCGAGCGTTGTGTTGCCTGCTTCCAGCTCGTGGAGCATCTGCGCCAGCGCTGGCCACCCCTTGGCGTTGTACATGGCCCCGTAGAGTAGCCCGACGAGATTAGAGTATGTGACCAGCGAGGGCCCCGAGGCTGCCGTGTACGAGGCGAGCGGGCGTTTGATCAGCGACCGGATCAAGTTGTCCATTCGCCTCTGGAGATCATCCAGCGTGACGGCGTTTCCGTCGACAGACTTGGCCAGGGCGCAGTGGTCGGGGCCGGCATTGACACATTCTCCCAGGAGCCCATCGTGGAAAGCGTTGGTTCCGTTGTCCAAGGCGGTCCAGCCAAAGCCACCTAGAACGCGGTGATCGCGCACATATTCCGTTCCATCGAGGATCATGCGACCCACGCTGTTGGGGAACATGTTGGCATACGTCTGTCCAATGCCGGTCCCGTAGCTCACCAGGTACCCGGTAAGCGCATCCTCGCCGAGGGCCAGGCGAATCTGTTCCAGGTCGCGCGCGACAAAGGCTGTTGACACGAAGCGGGGGACATCTCCGTGAATTTGTTTACAGGCGCCCAAGATGGAATCGCTCATGGCGTCGAAGAATTCAAGCTGAGCACGAGGCGACGGCGATGTCTCACGGTACTGGGACATGCGGACTAACCAGTGGTCCCTGTCGACATCGTAGGGAAAGCAGGAGATGGCTGGTAGAGAGGCGTTGACTCCGCGAGGGTCCCATCCCAGGACGTCGTACTTGCCGCCGCTCAATCGCTTGGAGATGTCCTCTGAAGATCGCCATGCCATGGAAGTGCCGCTGCCTCCGGGACCGCCTGGTTCAATGACAATGGTGCGTTCGCTCTTGGTGCCAGCACCCTGGCGGGGTTTGCCGTGATGGCGCCTGTGTCCACGATGAGAAAGCCCCGATACCTGGTATTTGGTCACGGCGAGACGAGAAATACGCGTGTCTGACTTGTTGGTGTAGTCCAAGGGGACATCGATGTATCCACAGAGGTAGATACCGCGATCAGCATACGGGTTGTGATGAGGTGGTCCGGGCTGTCTAGGCTTTCCAGGTCTACCAGGTCTTCCTGGTTCGCCAGGTTCACCGGGACGGTGAGGGTTGTGAGGCCTATGAGGCCTGTGAGGTTCCTCAATATCATCTTCGTGGCCCTCTGTGGCATTTCCCCAGCTCCAATGTGCTGGGTTAGGGTCAAACCTCTTGGCCCAGGTGCGTTCGGGGTGAGGGTCGTCCAGGGCCGGCAAGACAGAGTCCTTGGTACATGGAATGAAGTGGAATGGGTCGTGTTTCTCAGGGAATCGGCCAAATGGTGAGTGGCGTGAGTGACGATGACACGGGTGAGGCCATCTCCAGTGCGGCAAGTGTGGCCTCAACAGAAGGGATAAGACTGTGACGGCGGCAAAGATTCTGAGAAAACGTCTCCATGGACGCCTTGCTGGGCGGGGAGGAGCAGCGTCTATCTCGTCGTCTGTCTTGCCTCGTTCATTCAGCTCAGGCTCGAGGAGAGGAGCCTTCTCAAGAGGAGCGTTGCCCATGGTCGATGCTGGGCTCTCGTAGGTTTGGAGAGTTGGGAGGAGGACATGCTTGCCACGAGGGCGACGGCGAAGGGGATAAAGTTGGTCCCGGAGCTCTCCAACGAGTCTGACAAGATTACGCACACATATGCGCCATCAGAGACGATTGAACGCCATGGGCCAGGGTCGAGGCGGCCCCAACTGGGCTTAGCATCACCGCGTAACAAAGCAAAGGGAACAAGGCGTGGCGCCTGGTGGGAACCTGGAAGCCGAAACTCTGCGAGTCGCCGGCAAAAGTGGGGACTGAAGGAGATTGGATCCGGTACACGTGCTGCGGCATCGCGTGCCTTCCTAATTTGGATCAGGTCTTTGGTTATTGACCATTTGCGCGCCAGAGTGTTGAAGTTGGGGGAGTCAAAAGGCAAGAAACATATATACTTTTCCGCCATTGTAGAGCATTGGCTGGCCAGGGGTCGCAGTCTGTTCCAGGAGATCCATGATTTCCGCAACCGGGATACAACCCAAGAAGAGCGGGGCTGGTCGATGATATGGGAGTTAATATAATGTTCCGTCCGAGCCGTCTGGCCATCGGCATGCATCGAGTTTCCATCTTCCTCAACATCGCTTGACCCTCCTCACCATGACACTGAAGCGAGTCGCACATTACGGAACATGGGTGTCGCCCATTGGCGTCGAAGCTACCATTTACAAGAACAGAGCATTAAAATCTCCGCGGGTGAATGTAAGTTCTCCCCTTCTACGCCACCCCTGTCTTGTGTATGCCGTCCCAACACTAACCCATTCATAATTAGAGGCAATCCGGCCGGTCTTTCTTCGTCGAGAGCACCCCAGAAGGCAGGCAGACCATTATTGAGGTTACGGAAGAGGGCCTGAGAGACGTCTTACCTCCTGATTATAGTGTGCAGAACCGAGTGTATGAGTACGGCGGCTCTTTGTACGATGTTCTTCCCGATGATCGCCTCATTTTCTCCCATGAAGACGACACAGTGCGTTTGCTTTCACCTGATACCGGCTTGGTTCAATTGGTGGTGCAGAGCGACTTCCTGCGATACTCTAGCTTTTGTGCGTGCCATCCGTCGCCCTGGGTGCTAGCCATTGAGGAGGACCACACGTTCGCAGACCCGTACAAGGTCCAAAACTACATTGTCGCCATCAATGTTGAGACCTCTGCTGTTCAGAGGGTCGTGAGCGGCGCCGACTTTTATTACCTGCCCCAGTTCAGCTTCGACGGCGCACGTGTAAGCTGGGTGGAATGGGATCACCCCGATCTCCCCTTCGCCGCAGGAAAGCTCTACGTCGGCGACTGGGCGGCCGAAGGGTCAATCAAGAATGCTCGTCTTATCGCGGGCCAGAACTACGAAAGCGTTGCTGAGCCTCGGTGGGGGCCCGATGGTTCCCTCTTCTACGGCAAAGAAACGGCATCGCATCGCAAGTTGTACCGGATTCCGCCTGGTGGCAGGCCTGAAGAGCTGATTCAACTTGCGGGCTTGGATGATGCTGAGTTTGCCCAAGCAGGGTTAATGGAGGGGAGGTAAGAAGCTTTGTGCTCCCCCCAGCTCATGAGCCCCTGGAAGCTGACGTGGGAACCAACCAGCCGAACATTTGTTCCACTTACAGCGGATCTCTTGGTTGCCACAGCATATGTCAACGGCATAAGTCGTCTTATTGCCATCGACATCACAACGAGTTCCTGGAAGTCGCTGGCTGACGAGAAGAAGCTGTGCGATATTTCGGGCGATGCGGTTGCCAGACTTGGCCATGATTCCGTCTTGGCCATTGGCGGCGGAACCAACTCACACAAATCCGTGCACAAAATCGACGTGGCAAATCCCAAAAACAGCAAAGTCCTTCGGAGGGCCTTTGATGAAGAACTGCCAGATGCAACTTATGCCCAGCCGGAAGCTCTCCGTGTACGTTCCAACGGATCGCCGTCTAGGGATATCTTTGGCTTCCTGTGGATGCCCCGGAATCCGCATTACACGGCTCCTGCCGGAGAACTCCCGCCGCTGATCATTCACACTCATGGCGGCCCAACAGGACGTATGGGCAGCGGGCTGAACCTTCGAACACAATACTTCACGTCTCGTGGATATGCCTTTCTGGCGCTCAACTACACCGGATCCATGGGGTATGGCCGGCAGTATCGCGAATCCCTATTCGGCAACTGGGGCATTGTGGACGCGGCAGATGTGGTTGAATTTGCGGACTATATCGCTGCATCTGGGCGCGTCAACAGCGATGCAATAGGCATCACCGGCGCAAGCGCAGGAGGCTACAACACACTGCAGTCGCTGTCACGATACCCGGGGAGATTTGCCGGCGGCGTTTGTGTCAGTGGTATTTCAGATCTGTCGAGTTTCGACGACACGACTCACAAGCTCGAATCGGATTATACGGCGGCATTGGTCCTGCATCCCGGTGTGAGTGAGGAGGAGAAGCGCAGGATCTTCCGTGAGCGCAGCGCCATGTACCATACTGACGGCTTGACATCTCCACTTCTCTTGTTACACGGCCAGGCGGACACCGTGGTGCCTGTTCAACAGGCTAGAATCATTGCCGAAGCCCTCAAGAAGCTGCATCGCGATGTGGAAATCTTTGAAGTCGAACACGAGGGGCACATGTTTTCGAAGCCGTCCAGTGCAAAGCTGTGGCTTTTGCACGAGGAAAGATGGTGGAAGAAGACACTACTGCCGAAGACTTCACAGACGAATGTCTGACCAGCCCTTTCGCAGATTTCATGGTCGCCCTCCCGGGCAAGACGCAAGCAGGGCGGCTTGTGACATCGTTCCAAGATAGAAGCAGGACCCAACCCCCGATGATCGGACCATTGACGTTGACGCTCACAATATCGGACGGACACTGCGGCCAGCTGCAGCCAGCTGCGAAGGCATGCCAGGTGTCACGAGGTCATGTGTTGGGCATCTTCTTCCCGACTCCCAACGTTCATTGACCATTTGCCCTCTTTCTGATTCCTTGTCACCGCTCTGGGTACTTAACATACGCTCCTTGAGTCTTATCTTTTGAAATCTCCATACCACCAGGCATAACGAAGAAAGTCTGAAAGGGTAGTTCTGCTCTCGAACTTGTCGCTGCAACGACCACAACAGTTACTAATTCCCCTTTAGATGACACTTGCCAAGTCTCGAGCGCGGGCGTTGGCCGGTGCCTTTTTGGCTGCGAGTAGTTATTTGGACACGCTGTGCACCAGGGTAAGTCGGCAAAGTGCATTGCATTTCATTCAGCCAACGGCTGCTAACTTTTTTCCGCCAGTGCTACAAGCCAGGTCACATTGCCAGGAACTGTCGCCGCATTAGGAAGAATCGAAAAGCCCGTCGCGGGGGCTTCAAAGACCTTGACGGAGCTCTGTCATTCATCATCGAACAAGGTGAGAAGAGACGTTTGGCGAGGGAGAAGGAAGATGAGGATGGTTCGACTATCATGTCCGGCAACATGCCTGCTTCGGCAGATATGGGCGGCAAGCCTGGCAGCTTTGGAGCCACAGGGACTGGTCAAAATTCCGGGTTTGGCGGTTTGAGCGCCCGAGTCAATGAGGGCGGTAAGCTTGCTCCGAATATCTTCCAAGCTGCAGGTACTTACAAGATTTCAGTTTTTGGTGCTCCCGCCGTTCAAGGCAACAAGGGCGGCAAACCTGCTGCAAACATCTTCAAGGCCGCAGGGACTTCTCAAACGTCCATTTTTGACGTTTTTTCAGCTCCTGCAGTCAATAAGGGCAACAATAATGCTGCAGATATCTTCAAAGCTGGAGGTGATTCTCAAACACCAGTTTTTAACGTTTTTTCAACCCCTGCGGTCAATAAGGGCAATAACAATGCTGCGGATGTCTTCAAAACCACTGCTGCTCCTCAAAAGTCTGTCTTTGGTGTTTAGACTGTTGAAGCAAATGAAGGGCGGGCAAACGTACTTATTCGGGAGAGAGGACTAGAGGCCATTCGGTGCTGGAAATATTGCAGAATGCTTGTATGCGGTAGAGATTGATTATGACTCACAGCTAAAGTATCCTATAGCCTTTGAATATACGTTACAGGATAGTTGTCTCATGCACCCACAAGATGGGCCTCTAAATCTCAAAAGACAATTATACCTGCAAAGCGTCAAGCTTAGTGATGCAGTACATATATCAAAATGCATTGCTGGCCGTTATTTCAAGTTCACGACGCCCATCTAACCCAACAAGACACCCGCTTTGAAACAGCACGCCACGATATCCGGTCGATTGCTGAGACATGGAAATCTACCTTTGCCACAGACGGTGTGTGACGCCAACAAACATCCCTTCAGCTCTCCTCACCCTCCGTCGGCCAAAAGAACCACAAGACCACCATGATAGACTTGATACCCGCGGCCGTCCACAGCGCACCCTGGATGCCAAACGAACTATGCGAGAACAGCCCCCCGGCCACGGCACCGACCAGCAACAGGGCCGGGGCAGCAGCCCTCCGATTCCTCTCCACGTTGCGAAGCCTGAGCAGGTCCTGGTCGGAGAACAAGTCGCAGTAGATGCTCGTCAGCACCACGCTCGTCAGAGCATTGTACCTGAGCGCGCGGCTCGTCACGGCCTGCCCGCAAGACTGAAAGGCGACCAGCGCGAGCGGCACCAGGACGGTCCAGCCGACGGCGCGCTCGTCCTCGGGCGCCGGCTTGACGGTGACGATGACGGCGGCCGCGGAAATCAGCAGCGTCTGCGCCGCAAACGACGCGCAGAGCACCCATCGCTTCTTGGGGGAAAAGTAGCGGTGGAAGCGCGCAAAGAAGAAGGACCCGGCGCAGAAGGAGAGCAGGGAAACGCCCGACTTGTACAGGCGTGCGGATATCGGGGGGTTGAAGATGGTCGCAATGCCCAGGCCGACAAAGACGGTGTTCCCTACGGTTGTCAGTCTCTCCTTTTGGTCACTCTCTCTGTGTATATATGAGCGAAATCATATATGGGTTGTAAAAAAAACAAAAAATAAATAAACAAAAGAAACAGCACAGAGGCATAAACCTACCGGTCTGCATCGAAACAAAGGCGCCCCAAACTTGCGTCGACGCACTATCCAGCAATCCCGTCACCACGTAGCACAGCAGCAGAACCAAGTCGGCCCAGGAACGGGACACCTCGGCCGCCATTTGCTTGCGGCATTTGGACACGAGAGAAGGCGGCGTTGGTTTGCGGCCGAGAAGGGGCTGTTCTTCGTCGGCGACGACGCCGTTGCCGTTCATGATGGGCGCTTCGGGAACGGAGAGCAGGCGCCGGTTACTTGGGCGAGGCTGGAGACGATACAGACGGATTGGAGGTGCTCGATATCGCGATGACTTTTTCTCTAGGGACTTGGGCGATGTGCGCGGCGTGGCATAGTTTGAGGAAGGCTTTTTGTACTAGACAGCTTTTTCTTTTTTCACTCGCGCATTGGCTTCATGTACCAACGACCCACAGCGAAGCGAGCAGCGGATGTTGAATTTCAGGGCAGTAAAGGCAATTGACTTTCTCAAAGTTCATCGCACCCGACATCTGGAGTCCAAGACTTCAAGTGCATGGGACAAGCAAGTGGAGGCCCCGAGATGGAGCAAGAGGAGACGGTGGGACTGGTTGATGGACCGCCCGATCGGATCAGGGAACTCCTCGGCTCCAGCATTTGCACAGTTTCCTTTTTTTACCCCAAGTCCTCGGTAGCTTGCTGATGATTATTACCACGTCTGCCGAAGCGTGGATGGCGACATCGGGGAGCCAGGAAGCGCAACGTGAAGTTGACCCCAGGTTGAGACACGCCCTCTGCATCATGAGGCTGTCTCCTTTCCCGGAGGGTCAAACGAAGCTGATTGATTGCCCCTTGACTCAAGCCCAGCCGTGCCATCCTACGTCCACGGTAGCATCAACAGCCGCCTTCACCGAC